TTCAACTCTTGTAGCAAGGAGTAGAGCAAGCTCTACTGCTGGTACTCAAGTAAAGACTTGTTCAGCCAAATCCAAGCAGGATTTTCCCGATGACTTGGATCAAAGAGAAAGACCAGATGAGTTAAAGAGCCCAGTGTGTTCATATAATGAATGGGATCCTCTCGAGGAAGTCATTGTTGGACGCGTTGAAGGTGCAGTAAAATACATTGAACTGCAATGCATTCATGCTCTGCTTTTTGCTGTGAAACTCACAAAACCGTGAACACCAGAAATATTTATGTAATTGTCTTATGGGAAATTAGCCAATAAGGCGCGAGATAACTAAACCGCAAACAGCAACGGTAATTAGTTTGTGGTTTTGAGGCGGAACAAGAAATGAGGAACTGTCGGACTAACACTTGATAGAGTCTGACAGACAGTAATTTCAAGCAATTCACAATCAACTGGGTGGGAGAGCAAACACATTTTGATAGACATTTGTAATAACGGAAGACGGTTGGCCAATGCATGATTACAAGGGTGCATAACCTTATATATGATTGTATATATACAATCGAAATGTAAATATAATTTCACAAACGCAAAAAACCACTACTTTAAACTGATTAAAGTGCAGTATCACCCTTTGTCACTACAGGAGCCAAGTACATTTTGTACGATTAGATAAAACTAAAATGAGTGACAATACCTTAATGGAAGAATCATAAAATCAGGATAAAGGTTTTGACCGAAGTTCAGCAGTTGGATTCTGCCCATTACGTTCATCTGAGTAATTAATGCTGATTTTGTCCTTGTTCAGGTGCTACAGTACCGGAGTTCTCTGCTGAAGTGAAAACAAACACTTATGAGAAGAACTGGTCATTCTTCCGCCGTTTTGCAGGTCGATCTTTTCCTGAAGAACATCTTAGGAAAGCACACGCCGAAGTGGAGGAATTTTGTAAGATTTTACGGCACGAAGGAGTCGTTGTGCGTCGTCCTGAAGCAATCGACTTCTCACAGGTAAAACTGCTCATAAGCCCAGAATTTGTTTTCTAAGTACAATAATTTAATGAAGAATTTTGGAATGAAAAGTATGGTGAATAAACACTGAAAATCACAGATAGACATTTTAGTAGCATGTCTTTTTTCTTGTTCATGGTCGCCATTTTACGTCAAAAAAATTATATTTACACGAATTTTTGATAATTCTGACAGTTTATGAAACAAACTGTTGATGTACTTAACTTACTTGTCATTGGTAGTTTTAATATAAGCTCTTAAACTTCTCAAACTTTTGAATAATTCGCAACAATTTCTTCCAAGATCCTGCAGTGCCTGGTAGTAGAGAAAAGAAATTCTAAAAAATAAGGGTAAAAAACTTTCACTCTCTGAAGGGGACAATCCCTTCTTAGGAGCTTCGTCTTTCTCCTCATCTACCCAGGCTTCAAACACGGGAGAGGCGGCTTCCACAGATTGTACCTCGCATGAAACAAAGATCACTCATTCTTCATCGATGTCCCTTCCAAATGCCTACCGATTTTTTTTGCATCGTCACCTCCGTTCTTTGTAGGTTTACACGACTCCAGATTTTACCTCTTCTGGGATGTACGCAGCTATGCCACGAGACATTCTGATGGTTGTCGGCGATGAGATCATCGAGGCCCCCATGGCCTGGCGATCACGGTTCTTTGAATACCGCGCTTACAGACCCCTTCTCAAGGAGTACTTTAAACGAGGTGCCAAATGGACTACTGCGCCTAAGCCACTTATGAGTGACGACCTGTATGATCAGGTAAACATCTTGAATTTTAACGCCTTCATGGTTACAAAAAACCTATCCAGGTCGATTTTTATCAGGGCTCAGGAAGGATTTAGAGCTCAATCCCTCCCGAGTCCACGTATTATCTTTAACAAGGAGCCTTACTCTTTTTATTGAGAACTGAGGTTAAAGTGTGCACATGGGTTGCAAAATAGCAAATGTCTGGGCCATTTGACTCGATTTTGTTGCCAACTTAAGTTACCAATGCAAATAACTTATAACAATATATTAAGTAAACTATTTATCTTTTACATTTATGTCCTCAGAATTACCCGACACAGACAGTTGAGGACAGGCATCAGCTGGCAGCCGAAGGAAAGTTTGTTACCACTGAGTTTGAACCGTGTTTTGACGCTGCGGACTTCATTCGAGCAGGGCGGGATATTTTCGTCCAAAGAAGTCAGGTATAAAAAAATTAAGCTGGCTGTGCTACTCTTGTACCATGCAATATTTTTGGCTCAATGTTATATTACAGCGATACGTAGATAATGCCATTGAAATGCATTGGACAGTTTTTGAGCGATGGTCGTGTGGAACAGGACTTAGTATTGAGCGTTTTCATGGGACTTCACGTCCGGCTACATTGGTTTTTCCGAAATAGTGAAACTTAAGGCGGCCATTTTAGTGTACCAATCCAGTCTTTGGCATTTAAACTCTTTTACATGAAATAACTTTCTTTTGTTCCAAGAAACTAACTAATTCACTGGTCTCGTATGTGAAAACGCTCTTTCATGGGTGATCGTTACTAGCATTCAGCGTTTATTTTTCCAAATATTGTCAGGTACTGAACCAAAAAGCCTTGACTTCAGGAAACGATGGTTCCTTGATTAACACTTTAATGGAAAGCTTAAGCAACGACGATTAAAACGGCGGAGAAAACATCTTAAAAATTAATTTTCGTTCCCTCAAGCCTCATTGCTACTCAGTTTCCGATTTACCTGCCTGTTAAGTCAAAAGAAAGCGATTTCCTTTTGAGTTTAATTCATGGGGACCGCACTTAATTAAGTTTAGAAAGACTAAGAAAAAAAATCGAGGTTGTGTTTTTACGTCGTCCATAAAACAGATGAAAAGTCGTGTTATAGGATTTCACTTTACATTCTCGAATAAAACAACTGTACAAATAAAGGGTCGAGGCACGTGCATAGATATTATTCTCGTTACTGTCGTCCTCTTTTCTAAAGCTTCATTATATCATTAGAAGACGCAGCATCGTTCATTTTGTCCGTTCATATTTCAGGTGACTAACAACTTAGGTATCGAATGGATGCGACGTCATTTGGGTAAACAAGGATATAGGGTTCACAAGCTGTCATTTGACGATCCAAATCCAATGCACATCGACGCAACGTTTAACATAATCGGACCCGGATTAGTGCTGTCCAATCCAGACAGGCCTTGTCATCAGATCGACATGTTTTACAAGGCTGGTTGGACAGTAATAAAGTCACCCACCCCTTTAATGCCGGACACCCACCCGATGTGGATGTCGTCCAAGTGGCTGTCCATGAATGTCCTCATGTTGGATCCAAAGAGAGTCGTGGTTGATAAAGACGAGAAGACCACTCAAAAGGTAGTGTGCCGTCATCAGCTTCAGTATTCTGTCTTGCTAGCTATTTATCTTTTTCCTCACATTTCTTCGTCTCTTCTCTTTTCTGGTAGGTTTGCTTGACGAACTGACCAAGTTTTTTTTGTTTTGTTTGTTCGCATTTTAAAACTTGTGTTATTTTGCGCTCTTGTTCGATTTTGTAGCTTTAATGAATGATCATAATTCGCGAAAACGAAACACACGCAATTGCATGTCAGACCATAAGGCCCTAGTAAGATTAAATAAGAAAAAAGCAAAAAACGCCATGTCCACGAGCATAAGCGATCTACCTTTGCATTCCTGTTAGCTGAATGCCAATTTGCAATTTTGGACAATTCCGGGGAGAAAAATCTCGTTCGCCCGAAGTTTCTTCCTTACCTAAACTGACACAGATCATTTAAGCCTCATCAGCGCTCAATTCCAAGTCAAAAAAAATTCTGTAAATGTCACCGCTTTGCATGTAACAGTCAGTACCGCTGATGAGTAAAAGTAATTAAGCTACAAAGCCTTTAATGTTCTGTATCCTTTCAGAAGTAATGTCAAATGTAACTTTGACTAAAGAATGAATCCTTTTTTCCATAGATGTTTGAAAGCCTTGGCATTAGCTGTGTTCCAGTCTCTCTTCGCTTTGCCAACTCCCTTGGAGGTGGTTTTCACTGTTGGACCTGTGACGTGAGACGTCGAGGAAACTTGGAATCTTATATCTAGTCTCCGCTCAATGTTTTTTACTGAAAACACGTTAAAACTAATTTTGTGCATTTTGAAAAGTGCTTCTGGATTTTTTGTCGTCCGAAAAGGACAATTGGATTGAAATTTTGTGGTGATTCTAATATTAAACATCCTCGGTTTTGTCAAAAGAGTAATTACTGGTCAGGTGGAACAAACTTTCCTTTGTAATAAATCGATCTGTATATTGTAATCTGAACTCGATCTTCGTCACGTTCATTAGGAAACAGCCAGAAAAAGTTGTAACTCACAGAACCAGAACATTAAAAAGTATTTCATTATGTTACATATGAGAGCCTTTTCGTACGGTGCTTTCCATTTGTCAGAACTGCCAGCCAGACCATTCCCGTCATAACAGAGGACATTATACACTTAATGTCAGATCTCAAGGGAAACAGTTAGTTTTGTTTTCCCGAGAGTCCTGATGTTTCCCGAGACGAAGTCGAGGGAAACATCAGGACTCGAGGGAAAACAAAACTAACTGGTTTCCCGAGGGACCTGACATTAAGTGTTTTGTTATATTTCTAGACTTTCACTTCAACAGCAACAAAAGAATAACCGGAGCAAACCAAAACAGTCGACTCGGTACTTATAACAACACAAATTTAATTCTCAAAACCACTGAATGAATGATTTACAAACAACAGTACTTTCCTTATATTATCTGCATCTTTTTCCTCCACTAGCTGCTGTTTTTCTTCTGGGAACTTCTGGGATAACTTTAAAAATCGTTGCTTTTTAGCTTGAGGCTTCGTTTTTGTGTTGTTGTGTGCATTCACGAAAAAGAAAACTGGCTGGACCTAGCGGTGTTTTTCCCGCCTTTTGTCACGCCACTTTTCACCATGCTTTGATCACGTGCTGCAATGTATCCCGAGCGGGATACATTGTTTAATGTATCACGATCGGGATACATTTGATTTTAGTCAAGGCCACGTGACCAAGAATCAACCAATGGCAGTCCCTGTTTAGTTGAGTGAAAGTCTAGGAATATAACAATATGAATTAACCTAGGTTGAAGGGAGACTGGATTAATCTATGAGAATATATTTTACCTGCAACATAGAGGTCAGTATGGGACTGTCCGGTCTTTCTTCTCATCTCTTAGCCTGCATGATGGGTGCTTTAAACCAAGTGAGGTGAATCATTCTTAGTTTTGTTGACCGTGCTACAGTTATAAGAATAACGCCGCCTCTCTCTTTTAAATAATTCCTATCTTGCTTGTATTAAACGCCCCATCTTGGACACTTTTATTTTAAAAAATAAAATAAATTCCCGGAGCACCTGTGCGGTGCGCCTGCAGCATTACCTTTTGGACGTTTTAGACTTCGGCTGACTTAAGCTTTCCTCCTTTAGACACTTGCCAGGCATAATGATATGCAATTTTTTCTTCGGAGAACTGCATATAAACCAAGTTTAGGGCAGCAGATCCGCGCAAGAAACCAACTGAGTGTGGTTTTAAAAATGAGCTCAAATGGCCCACCCTGTTGGGGAAAAGCCAAAAATAAAGTTTTTCTCTTAATTTCTGGAAAGCAGCTTCAGGTTACAAATCACATGCTGTACCTGAACGAAAACAAACTCAACACTAAACAACAATAAAGTCGTTCTCATTTTTTCAGACCTTATGACAAATGCCACTGAATGCCCCAACCTGGGAACGTGCCCGACCAATGCCCAGAGTCAAAGTAGATAAATCGCATAGAAAAGTAAAAACGGCGCCATTATCTCCTGACCAAAAATGGTTTCATTCTTCTTCCATTCGTTTTGGATTCCTAAGGTTTTGCTCCAGCAGCACACTACTCGATGCATAAACCTTCAGAAGTTGCCTCTGAAACGTTTTCAGAGTGGTAAATTTTAAAGCTTTTTAAGTTTCACTTTTCTTGACATCAAATAAGCGAGCGATGGCCGCTATTTAAATGAATTAGTAGCCACGCTAGAGTTTAGAAGGGCTGGTCTATCAGTTTCTATCCCTCTAATGTGTATCTATCTCAAATTCACACTATCGAAGATGGCGGAAAAATACCAGACGGATTATCCGTCTCTAATGTGAAGACGGCCAAAGAAAATCGTCGTGCCGGTTAATCTTTTCAAACTCTTTGGAGTTGCTAACACATTCGCACGGGAAGTTTGCCACTTGTGTATAATAAGAAAGAAACATATGAAAATCGTCTATACATCATTCGCAGTCCTCTTTTCTAAAGCTTCATTATATCATTAGAAGACGCAGCATCGTTCATTTTGTCCGTTCATATTTCAGGTGACTAACAACTTAGGTATCGAATGGATGCGACGTCATTTGGGTAAACAAGGATATAGGGTTCACAAGCTGTCATTTGACGATCCAAATCCAATGCACATCGACGCAACGTTTAACATAATCGGACCCGGATTAGTGCTGTGCAATCCAGACAGGCCTTGTCATCAGATCGACATGTTTTACAAGGCTGGTTGGACAGTAATAAAGTCACCCACCCCTTTAATGCCGGACACCCACCCGATGTGGATGTCGTCCAAGTGGCTGTCCATGAATGTCCTCATGTTGGATCCAAAGAGAGTCGTGGTTGATAAAGACGAGAAGACCACTCAAAAGGTAGTGTGCCGTCATCAGCTTCAGTATTCTGTCTTGCTAGCTATTTATCTTTTTCCTCACATTTCTTCGTCTCTTCTCTTTTCTGGTAGGTTTGCTTGACGAACTGACCAAGTTTTTTTTGTTTTGTTTGTTCGCATTTTAAAACTTGTGTTATTTTGCGCTCTTGTTCGATTTTGTAGCTTTAATGAATGATCATAATTCGCGAAAACGAAACACACGCAATTGCATGTCAGACCATAAGGCCCTAGTAAGATTAAATAAGAAAAAAGCAAAAAACGCCATGTCCACGAGCATAAGCGATCTACCTTTGCATTCCTGTTAGCTGAATGCCAATTTGCAATTTTGGACAATTCCGGGGAGAAAAATCTCGTTCGCCCGAAGTTTCTTCCTTACCTAAACTGACACAGATCATTTAAGCCTCATCAGCGCTCAATTCCAAGTCAAAAAAAATTCTGTAAATGTCACCGCTTTGCATGTAACAGTCAGTACCGCTGATGAGTAAAAGTAATTAAGCTACAAAGCCTTTAATGTTCTGTATCCTTTCAGAAGTAATGTCAAATGTAACTTTGACTAAAGAATGAATCCTTTTTTCCATAGATGTTTGAAAGCCTTGGCATTAGCTGTGTTCCAGTCTCTCTTCGCTTTGCCAACTCCCTTGGAGGTGGTTTTCACTGTTGGACCTGTGACGTGAGACGTCGAGGAAACTTGGAATCTTATATCTAGTCTCCGCTCAATGTTTTTTACTGAAAACACGTTAAAACTAATTTTGTGCATTTTGAAAAGTGCTTCTGGATTTTTTGTCGTCCGAAAAGGACAATTGGATTGAAATTTTGTGGTGATTCTAATATTAAACATCCTCGGTTTTGTCAAAAGAGTAATTACTGGTCAGGTGGAACAAACTTTCCTTTGTAATAAATCGATCTGTATATTGTAATCTGAACTCGATCTTCGTCACGTTCATTAGGAAACAGCCAGAAAAAGTTGTAACTCACAGAACCAGAACATTAAAAAGTATTTCATTATGTTACATATGAGAGCCTTTTCGTACGGTGCTTTCCATTTGTCAGAACTGCCAGCCAGACCATTCCCGTCATAACAGAGGACATTATACACTTAATGTCAGATCTCAAGGGAAACAGTTAGTTTTGTTTTCCCGAGAGTCCTGATGTTTCCCGAGACGAAGTCGAGGGAAACATCAGGACTCGAGGGAAAACAAAACTAACTGGTTTCCCGAGGGACCTGACATTAAGTGTTTTGTTATATTTCTAGACTTTCACTTCAACAGCAACAAAAGAATAACCGGAGCAAACCAAAACAGTCGACTCGGTACTTATAACAACACAAATTTAATTCTCAAAACCACTGAATGAATGATTTACAAACAACAGTACTTTCCTTATATTATCTGCATCTTTTTCCTCCACTAGCTGCTGTTTTTCTTCTGGGAACTTCTGGGATAACTTTAAAAATCGTTGCTTTTTAGCTTGAGGCTTCGTTTTTGTGTTGTTGTGTGCATTCACGAAAAAGAAAACTGGCTGGACCTAGCGGTGTTTTTCCCGCCTTTTGTCACGCCACTTTTCACCATGCTTTGATCACGTGCTGCAATGTATCCCGAGCGGGATACATTGTTTAATGTATCACGATCGGGATACATTTGATTTTAGTCAAGGCCACGTGACCAAGAATCAACCAATGGCAGTCCCTGTTTAGTTGAGTGAAAGTCTAGGAATATAACAATATGAATTAACCTAGGTTGAAGGGAGACTGGATTAATCTATGAGAATATATTTTACCTGCAACATAGAGGTCAGTATGGGACTGTCCGGTCTTTCTTCTCATCTCTTAGCCTGCATGATGGGTGCTTTAAACCAAGTGAGGTGAATCATTCTTAGTTTTGTTGACCGTGCTACAGTTATAAGAATAACGCCGCCTCTCTCTTTTAAATAATTCCTATCTTGCTTGTATTAAACGCCCCATCTTGGACACTTTTATTTTAAAAAATAAAATAAATTCCCGGAGCACCTGTGCGGTGCGCCTGCAGCATTACCTTTTGGACGTTTTAGACTTCGGCTGACTTAAGCTTTCCTCCTTTAGACACTTGCCAGGCATAATGATATGCAATTTTTTCTTCGGAGAACTGCATATAAACCAAGTTTAGGGCAGCAGATCCGCGCAAGAAACCAACTGAGTGTGGTTTTAAAAATGAGCTCAAATGGCCCACCCTGTTGGGGAAAAGCCAAAAATAAAGTTTTTCTCTTAATTTCTGGAAAGCAGCTTCAGGTTACAAATCACATGCTGTACCTGAACGAAAACAAACTCAACACTAAACAACAATAAAGTCGTTCTCATTTTTTCAGACCTTATGACAAATGCCACTGAATGCCCCAACCTGGGAACGTGCCCGACCAATGCCCAGAGTCAAAGTAGATAAATCGCATAGAAAAGTAAAAACGGCGCCATTATCTCCTGACCAAAAATGGTTTCATTCTTCTTCCATTCGTTTTGGATTCCTAAGGTTTTGCTCCAGCAGCACACTACTCGATGCATAAACCTTCAGAAGTTGCCTCTGAAACGTTTTCAGAGTGGTAAATTTTAAAGCTTTTTAAGTTTCACTTTTCTTGACATCAAATAAGCGAGCGATGGCCGCTATTTAAATGAATTAGTAGCCACGCTAGAGTTTAGAAGGGCTGGTCTATCAGTTTCTATCCCTCTAATGTGTATCTATCTCAAATTCACACTATCGAAGATGGCGGAAAAATACCAGACGGATTATCCGTCTCTAATGTGAAGACGGCCAAAGAAAATCGTCGTGCCGGTTAATCTTTTCAAACTCTTTGGAGTTGCTAACACATTCGCACGGGAAGTTTGCCACTTGTGTATAATAAGAAAGAAACATATGAAAATCGTCTATACATCATTCGCCTTTTTCATATTGCCCATGGTACAGGTTGTCAGGAAAAAAAAGGTTGGATAACTATTGTTTCCAATCTCTCCTGATTATTACAGTCGTTCCAGTAAAAAAACAAAAAAACAAAAAAAAAAAACAGCCTGTTCCAGTCGTTCAGGTTAATAAAAAAAGGACAATAAGACAATGCCTATGCAAATTTTTTTTGGGGAAGCAAAGTGTATTGTGGGTTGTGTAAACGGGGAGTTGGGCCATGAACCGGGCGGCTCTTAGCGCCCGGGACGAGAGCCATGTGCACACACCACTAGGGAGAGGTTGTGAGAGACGACTGAGGACGACTCAGACGCTGGATCGTCATATTTCGATAGGTTTCTGTTGGTTTCTGTGCGTGTGAACATGTGTTCGAACTGTAGCGGAAGTGAACGAGTGGAAGCGAGGACTGGAACCCACTAAGGCAGAACTCTCGATCCGCCCTGCTCTCGATCAACCACTTCAGTGTGAACGCCTTTCTCCAGCTCTTTGCCGTCTCTGGTCATAGTAGATGGGAGTAATTTCTCATGTCGACATGAAAAGTAATGATTTTTATAAAGCAAAAACAAGGGCTCGGCACGAGCATCACACTTTTTGGTGCATTTCTTTGATGTCCACCCGCACGAATGACCTTTCCAGTTTTGTGTAAACGTACGTGACTCAAGGGACTGAGATTAAATTAAATTTTAGTTTTCGAGAGAACTGGATGAAACACTTCAGTGCAGCTATAATAACAAAGACGTTGGCATTGGGTCTAGCCAAGTAGCATTGTAAAAAGAGTTTACCATGGTATTTCACATTCAGTTGTTTGAATTGATTCATCGTCCACGGTAACAGAGCATTTAATAGTAGTTGTTGCTTGAAATATCTGGCAACAAACGATATATAATACATCAAGCTTGAATAAAAGCTCTGATACTTTCTACAAAAAAACTACCCATCAGGTGGGCGGATGTTGTAACGAGGACCGGAAATACGTCTAAGTCCGCGGGCTAAGATTTCTCTGATTAAAATGAAGTATTTTTATACAAAAAAAAACCTTGATATGGGTGGGACTGTTGCCTAGGAGGATTTTGTAACGAGGAAGACTGATGCTTTATTTCTAGAGGTTATTCACTTTGGCTTATGTGTTTCAATATTCGGTTTTAGAATGGCATCATCGGCTTTTTTGACAACCGGAGTAAAACGGAAATGGGGAAGGATGGGAAGCAGTGTAGAGACCGCAAAACGTCACAGGAAGAAATGCAAAAATGGCCCCTTTAATTTGAACCTGGTTGCTTAACCTTTGTATATATTTTATGCCCCGATGATTAAAGGTTTATTAAGGTACGATTACCCTTATCATATCATCAGTTACCCACTACCCGACCTTGTAATATTGAAAGAGATATATTAGATGATCGTAATCGGGCCTCAGCAGTACAGGTTGCTTAACTGTTCAGGTATTTGTGATTTACTTGTTATGAAATTAAGAACCGGCTGCCTAGAGGCCATTTTTTACAGTTAATTTCTAAAAAAAACCCTCTCCTAAATACTCCTAAATACTACCTTGCTCCTGTTGTTAAGTTTGGTTGTCTATGCTTCTAAGAAATGAAATAAGGGACAGCATTGAAGTATGGGGAGCGTTTGGTTCTGTTCTCAAATTTTTAGCATATTTTATTAACCTTTTTATTTTTAGTAAATGCACTTATCTTACTGATTTCCTTTCGGTTAGCTATTCGAATTTAAACTCGAAAACACTCTGTTCTTGCAGGGATAATTGGCTTAGTAGTCATACTTTCCTTTCCAAGATATTGATCTTGGTCTAGTTCTCATTAGCAAAATTCGTTTTTTACTTGGTTTATGGCGACTTTACCAAAGACTCAGTACCATGAGAATCTTTAATCCAAGACTGGTATTGATTAGGATTGGTGTTGATTCTGGATTAGTGCGCTCGGCCGTTTTACCGAGCACACAAAGCACACAAAGCTCGCGAACGAGCTGCGAAGCCAATCTCCTCGCAGCTTCACTGCTCTCGCCCACCTTGGCTTGCTTGCACGCCCGACGAAAACCGCCATGCTTCCGCAGGCTA